CGTGAACGCACCAGACACGGACGTACGATCGCACAATGGCCTCACACACGCATACGATACTGCGTCTCTCTTACACTTGTATGTTCATCTTCTTTCCCTACTACTACTAGTACTTTATATGATTGTTGAATAACAGCGTTATTTTGTCGGATGTACTTTTTAAAAACATTCTTTTGCTCTGACGTTCACCGTAAGCTTTTAAGTCTAAGCCTAAGCCACTGTTTGCCAAACCATGGCGAATATGGTAATTTTTGGTGGTGGGCGCCAGGGGTCACGGGGGTAGTGACAAGTATTATTTAATGTCCCGCTTGGGAATACATGTACATGTACATAGGTGGTCGCTACGGAAGTGTTAACGTCTTAGAGAAAGGTGGCAAAAATGGGCGCTGGCTATAAACAGGTTGACAGGCCCTGCTGTGTTTTTTAAAAAAATCGTCGAGGTTTTAGTCCAGATGAATGCATTCTTTGATTCTGATAACTGAGCTTTCAGGAAGTTACTAGTTAAGTTCGAGTTTATTTTGGCAATACGGCGATGCTTTATTGTAAGTCCCCCCGCTACCATACAATCCTAAGAGCACTTTGGCAAACTGCTTTTCCTTGCAAAAAAAATAAAATAAAAGTTTTTACCTTTAAACTATGTCATTGGCCTTTTAGCAGTTATGTCACCTTGACACTGGCTTTTGAAAAAGCTCAAGGAATGTGTGCGTCAGCAGCTCTCCAGGTGTTCCCTAATTGTCTGGTGTGTGGGTCAAATTCCAGAGGACGTTTTGCACCGTACGAGGTTATACAGAATTTTTTTTTCTTTTTCTCTTTGTATTTGTTGAGCTCTACTTTAGATGTCCTCTTAATATAATACTTTTTCCAGCACTAAATTATCATTATTGTGTCGATGTGCTTCTCTTTTATCGATCAATCAAACAGGCAAATAAACGTGGGTGGTTGGTGTGTGCTCTGGTGTACTTTGCTGTTGCTTCTTCTTTCCTATCAAACATCTATCGTCTTTATCTCCCCCTTTTTTTGTGTTTGTTACCCTCTTGTAACACTTCTAATCTCCGGCACTTATATGACCCTATTGTGTTGCAAGTGCCGTAAAACACTTACTAAAACAAAAACAAACAAACAAACAAACGAACAAAACAACAACTAACAAACAAGACTAAAACCCACAGTACAGTCGTGCTTGTCAATCCTGTTATATTCAGAGCCCATTTTTGCCACCTTTAAGACCGTAACAAGAGGCTGGAGTTTCCGTACCGCCCACCTCCATGTATGTCTAAGCGGTGCGTGAAATAATACACGTCACTCCCCAGGCGATCCCCACCACCCTCCTAAATAACTGTGGTGTTTTGTCAGTTTGGCTTCTCTTTCTTACTTTGTAACGGCAATATTCTAGCGGTCTTCACTACTCAAACGTGCGGATTAGGGAGATCTTAGGTGCCTATTTATGTTTTAACAAAATGTGCCCTCACATTGCGAGGTTTAGCCTTCAGAAATGACGCAATAATCAAAATTAGACGAAAAAGGACATATGCCCCCCCTCCTCCCCCAAACAAACAAACAAACAAACACACAAACAGACAATCCTCC